ATATATATATATATATATATATATATATATATATATATATATATATATATATATATATATATATATATATATATATATATATATATATATATATATATATATATATATATATATATATATATATATATATATATATATATATATATATATATATATATATATATATATATATATATATATATATATATATATATATATATATATATATATATATATATATATATATATATATATATATATATATATATATATATATATATATATATATATATATATATATATATATATATATATATTTAGTTATTTATTTATTTTTTATTTTTTTTTTTACAGGATGCTTTACAATAATATATTTTGCAGATAAATTTTTTTGCAATTTTTCACATGAATATAAATGTATTATCTTCATATTTCTAAAGATGTTCAGTGACTATATTATTTAATAAATCAGTTGTTTGGTAAATATAAAATATTTTGAATGTAAAATGTAAAATATATGACCTATATTCACTGAGAAATGGATAAAAGTATTCATTTTCAAAATGGGGTGTACTCAATTATGCTGAGCACTGTACACTCACCGGCCACTTTATTAGGTACACCTGTCCAACTGCTTGTTAACGCAAATTTCTAATCAGCCAATCGCACACACTTATGTAGATGTAATGAGTTTGTTGTAGCTGTAATTTTATTTGTTTTTAAGAACAAATTTGAGATCTTTTTGTCAAGAATTCATCTTAAGATATTTCTCAACTTATTTCTTAAAGTCAGCATGAAATCAAGATATACTCTTCTTCTTTATAGATGTATACAGCAGCTCTGTCTCTGTGCACTTTATTATTTTTTGTACAAAATTATTTGCTCATATAAACTTTAATCAAATATCAAAACCTTTTCTCTTCTTCACAGTGTGGTTTATTTATAAAGTAATATCGAGAGGATCATGTGCTTACGATTGAACACAGCTGTTACCGCAGTAGCTCTGTATATTTGCATCAATCAGATGAAAACCGGCACACTATAAACTACCAGAGCTTTCCACTCCAGTCAGCTTCGTCTTGACGAATCCCCCTTCACCTATAGGGCGGCATGGTGGCCCAGTGGTTAACACTGTTGCCTCACAGCAAGAACGCCACTGATTCAACTCTCTCCGAGCCGATCAGTGTTTCTGTGGAGTTTGCATGTTCTCCCCGTGTTGGTGTGGGTTTCCTCCGGGTGCTCCGGTTTCCCCCACAGTCCAAACACATGCGCTATAGGGGAACTGATCAACTACACTGGCACTAGTGTATGAGTGTGTGTGTATGAATGTGTGTATGTGTGTTTCCCAGTATTGGGTTGCAGCTGGAAGGGCATGATTAAAATATCAGTGTCCCTTTTAAATGTGTGTGTGTGTGATGCGCTGGTGTGTCCGCAGGAGTAGCTGAAGGCTGTCAATCACTCTGAAGCTCCGCCCATCATGACAGAGCTCAGTGTGGTGAAGGAGGGCTGGCTCCTTAAGAGAGGTACGGCAGAGTGTGTGTCCTGTGTGATACATGCTGCTCCACTTACCTGTGTGTGTGTGTGTGTGTGACAGGTGAGTACATCAAGACATGGAGGCCGCGGTACTTCATCCTGAAGAGTGACGGCTCCTTCATCGGCTACAAGGAGAAGCCGGAGCTGACGGACCAGAGCTGTGCACCGCTCAACAACTTCTCTGTGGAGGGTCAGCTCTGTGTGTGTGTGTGTGTGTGTGTGTGTGTGAGAAATGTCTGTGTGTGTGCAGCGAGTGTGTCAGTAAAGTGTGTGTGCGTGCAATGAGATTGAGTGTGAATGAAGTGTCTGTACAGTGAATGAAGCCTGTGTGTGAGTGTGAGTGTGTGTTTGCGCTTGTGAGTTAAGTGTGTGTGTGTGTTGTAGAGTGTCAGCTGATGAAGACGGAGCGTCCGCGGCCGAACACCTTCATGATCCGCTGCCTGCAGTGGACCACCGTCATTGAGCGCACCTTCCATGTGGACAGCAGTGACGAGAGGTGACCACACACACACACACACACACACACACACACACACACACACACACACACTCACTATGCTCCCATCACACACATTAATAACACACACACACACACACACTTCACTCCTACACGTCCCTAACACACTCACACACACATCATTCACAAACACACACACACACACACACACACACACTCCGCTCCCATACATCACTAACACACTCACACATACTCCATCCACACTAATACACACACACAAACACACACACACAATCACACACACCAATAACACATACTTACGCCCTCACACACATCAATAACAAACACACACACACTTCACTCCCACACGTCCCTAACACACCCTCACACACATCAATAACAAACACACACACACACTTCACTCCCACTAGTCCCTAACACACTCACACACACATCATTCACAAATACACACACACACACACACCTGCAAACTTCACTCCCAGACGTTCCACACACACTTCATTTACACACACACTTCACTCCCGCATGTCAGTATCACACTCACACACACACTTCCTTCACAAACACACACACGCACACACACTTCACTCGCGCATGTCAGT